AAGTTGCAGCAAAATTAAAAGTTACATCCACCAGTGAAGTTATCTTCATCTCCTCGTAATATTTTCTTCCATTAGAAAGTTTTGTCACCCAAAATACTTCATGTTTTCCAAGCACCTCAAAGTATAGTTGTGAAAGTTTTTGCCAATCGATTTGTTTTACTGAAAATGTCATCAACATCAGTTTTGAAATACACATTTGATACATGATTCAAGATATGAACATGACACATTTGACTTGCCAGTTTGTTTTAAAAAAATTTGTAACCATAAATTTATTAACTTTAATGAATATTTACATTCTTAACCAAAAAAAAAAAGAACGTAATATATGTCCTGAGAACTTTACGAGTCCGACTAACTAGACCAACACAAAACAATTTAAAGAATAGAATGTACTAATATTCTTTTCTTTTTTTTCGGTCGAAAGAATGTATTAATATTCTAAGTTGACGTGAAAATAAAAATCGTAAAAACCGCAGTGAACATGAAAACTATGTATAATCAATCACCTTCTAACATATTTAATTTGTTACAACTTCAAATTGTGAGTTTCCTCTTTAGGTATTTTGACTCTAGTTTACCTGTTTAAAATCACCACATGGCTCATAAGTTTTGTAATTAATTGATTTTGAATTTCAATACCCTTTTCTGTTTTCTTCTTTTGTTTTAACAACAAATCTGCATTCATTGATAAGAAAAAAATATGATCCCAATGTAATATCGGTACAAAAAATATAGGAACATATGAATAAGTAAGTGAAACAGTTAAATTCTGGTTCAGCGGCTTGATTACTTTGTCGAGGGACCCAAACTACCTCTGAATCTTCAAACTTTGATTGCCAAAATCGAATTTCGTTAATCCAATTGTGTAATCCAAAATTTCTCTCAAGACCATTTGATCAAACGGATTGCCGTTTCATTATCACCTTCAAGCATATTGAATAGCCATTGAGAGAGCTTGGAGTTCTGCTTCCCCACAGCATATCCTGCAATTCGATGTAAAAAACCTTCGAAATCACGAGCAATCCAAGCCCATTCCGATTCCGGAAGCAGCAGTACCTTCATTCTTATAGCTGCAATCATAGTTAACTTTGATATAACCTTTTCTGTTTAAACAAATTTCAATACCCTTTATTATT